ACCGCCACCGTGGAAAGTGATTGGATGCTATTTCCGAGCCGCTTATTTGGAGATGCCGCTGGATGCTATGGTTTAAGAAGGTTAGCCTGCCTCCTAGAGGTCAGAAACGAACGTTTTGGAGTAGCGCATAGATTCAACAAACACTTAGCGATGAGAAGGCTGCGTTCATGAGATGGTTTGGGAGCAAAGAACCTTCAATTCAAATGCTGTACGAAGAAATGTCTAAGGTGACAGTGAAATCAGTAGCCAAAGTGAAAGCTGATTCCTGAGGGAAGTTCGGTGAGGTGCTAGAGGTCAATTTTTCAGATGGCAAACAGGGAATTCTGTCAGATCTTCCGCCGCCTGCGAGATGGAAACAAGAGCTCTCTATGAGTCCTGAGGGTGACGGCAATGTCTACAACGTTCCCGACGCTGTCGCGGCGTTTAAGGGTCAGCTAAAGAAAATTTAAGTTTTGCGTATAGTCCTTCGGGACATTTGCCCCAGATCGCCCTTCGCTGCTTCGTCTGCCCTGAGTCTTCAGTCGGTCGGCTGTGCAAGAAGTAACAGTTTCGCCTTACTCTCTGAAATTATTCACAGTACTTGATCAAACGATCACAGATGTAACTCTCAGTTTAGAGAAGAAGCCGCTGTAAACTACCTTTCTGGTATCAGTACTCCAACCTTGTCGAGAGGTGAGATTCTAACGATTCGTTTCAAGAAGCCCCTTTCACCCGCTCCCTCACGATCGATACTTTTAGTCTGGACCTACAGTTCATAACCGTAGGTGAGCAACTGAATGAAGGTCGACTTGAATCGAGAGCGCTTAGTGCTGTGCTTTAGTCATAACAATTCCATGACGCGGCTGAACATTCCAATTTACTGGTCGATCTCTTCCTCCCATTTGCCATCACCAGTAAATATGACCCCGAGGTATATGAACTTGCCCACCTGCTCCACCGCTTGTCAGTTTATTTGCAGCTCAACAGACAGAAGAAGGAGAAAGCCAAGCGTTGCGTTTCAGGTACGTTCTCAAGAATGCCAGCCTCATCGCACTCAGCGAGAAGAACCATTTCAGAGCGCACAGGTGACCAGTTTCAGAAGATGCCGACAAAACCAACAGCAAACTTATCGTCTCTACATTTCTTACGTTGATAAACTCGTCGCAAATACACTCTATAATTCATAATTCATCTGTTTGGACAGAAATGAACCCCGTTCTTCTGGGGTAGCTACTATATTATTGCTTTCCAACTCCGCCATTGGTAATAGCATTTATCGTCTGACACCGGATTTACTCAGCCAAAGCCTCAACCTCATGCTTCTAGGCATCTCGGGCCATCGTTTATGCAGGAATAGTATTTGAGTACCTGAAATATATTGGGTGAAAGAACGATCACTGACTTGTACTGAACAAAAGCGCTTTCGAGTACTACCTAAACCTGCTACTATGCTTAGGCAAATACATAAAGAACTTATACCAAAATGTTTCTGGTTAGCTGCGACATTATATCTTTTGCGTACTTTTGCTTGTTCCCTAGCCACGATTTTAGTGACGGTCTTTTAAGTTACATGGTAAAGTCAAGTTGTGTATCGGGCATCAAATTTTCTCACGTAGGTTAACGCATCTTTATTGTTATTCTCTGTCTCTCTCACATTTGCATCGTTCATAACTGTCGCATGCTAAGATATGTGCAACTTGGTAAATAGAAAAACGGTTTTAGGTGACCTCATTAATCTTTTTCATTTTCAGACAACAACCTTGATTGGACTACTCAAAACAGCGCGACTTCTACGATTAGTCAGAGTTTGCAGGAAGCTGGATCGATACTCCGAGTACGGTGCCGCGGTACTGTTGCTTCTCATGGCTACCTTTGCCCTCATCGCCCATTGGTTGGCCTGCATCTGGTACGCAATAGGCTCTGCCGAGTTGCCGAATGTTGACAGCAACATAACCTGGCTGCATCAGCTTGGTAAGCGATCATATTTTTCGTCATGAGATTAGGCACCCTCATAAGTGCAGCCGAAACCATATTTGATGGTTCCTTGAGACCGAGCGAGAAACGGCTAACAGAAACGCGGTTAGCGACGAACTCCTTTTGCCTTACCCTCCTTTTGATAGATACGAGGCGTTGTCCTCCATCTAAATGAATGAAATGAATGAAGACGCAGGAGTGCACAATTCGGCAACGTTACAATGCCGGATTTTGTTCCTCTCTGGGAAACTTCCCTTAGGTTAAAGATCTTCGACCGTGCGTACTTCCAGTGCTAACGCAGAGATTTTAAACATGAACTGTGAAAATGAAGGCGAACTATCGATTAAGCAACGCAACATGAAAAAGAGCTATGTTATGAACGACAGTGTGAAATG